AGTTCTGAACAAACTATTTTATTCTACTATATTTTTTGTGTTCATTTTTTCCTAGTTTTCATCAGAATGCATAAGGCTCAATAATTTTTTAAATTCAGTTCATTAAGATATTTCATTTTTAAAAACTTGACCTGTGATGTGTTTTTAAAATTTCTGTTTTAGCATTCTATTCCTGTAGAGAAAATGTTGTAGTATATTAATGAAATTATTGTAGTTGCTTCCAACATGGTGAAAAAGAATTAGGTTAGTTTTTGTACTAGAGAAATCTGAAAATGTGCTGGTTGCCTATATGCATAGTTGTAACCTATATATGTAGTTATGCAATGGTAACAACATAACAAGATGATGTCAGATTCTTTTGTAAGGAAGTGGGATTATAGTTTTGCCAGCTCATCTGACATCAAAATGTGGGTTTATTCAACATATAGTTAGCAGTGTTTTTAAAACACCCTTTCTAGATTTGGAGTTACCTACCATATTCTATAGCAAAACCACAACATAGTCTTGATTCTAATATGCTTGTTAAAGATCATTTCTTTATGCCTTTGAATCTTAACAATGCTTCCTTTAATCATGTGATAAGAAGTAACCAGCAACCTCAGGACCTACCTCATTGATACGTATTTTATTTTTACTTGTTTCTCTGAACATTTAAATTATATGTTTGCTAAGGGTGCAGTTGAAATCATTTGATATTGCACCATTTTTAAACCAATGGTGACAGATTGAAAAGAAGATTATGTGGGCAAGACATAATGATTATAATTAAGTGACAGAGAAAATAATATGTTCACAGAAAGCCAAAAAATACGATGGGGAAGAGTAGGTCAATTATGGAGACAATTGTACCTCTGGTTGAAAATCCCACATTTAATCATGGAACCTGTTCAATTTGAATGCTAAAGTATACTGTTAGAGGAGGACTGGTAAGGGGGTGTGGCTATATATTGCTCTGGCTGGCAGTGCCCTTTGCTTTATCAAGCAGCTGACAACACTGAAGTCAGGGAAGCCTGCATAATTCATGAGCAGGTAATTCTTTATAACTTTTTGTTTGATGAAAAAACAGTTGTCCATGCCTCTTTATTGCTTTGAACAGGCTTTTAGCCAAGGATTTAAAAAAAAAATTAATGCTGCTTTTGCTGTGGCTGTGCTGAGGTGAGAGACAAACCAAGTTTGAAGATGGGGGGTGGGAAAGGCTCAAAGACAACAAATGAGCTTTTCCTTTCAGTACTGAAGAATATACTCCTAAAGAGGAGAGTGGGCCATCTCAGAGAGGAGTTCAGTGTCATACTTTTTTGTGTGTCCCAGCTTTATTGGGACTTCAAAAGTTTTTAAGAGAATCTTTTATAAATTTATCAAGACAGTATTGGGTTTTGTATAAATTATATCTCAACACAAACCCTGACATAATCCTTCTGTGACATACTTTTAGCCTTCTGGGTTTGCCTTATCTACCTGTTTTGGAAAATCATTTTCATTTGTACAAAACCTTATATGCATATAAAATCCTTTCTTTCACAAGAATGTTCTCTTTTATATCCTTCTTTACACCTTCTCATCTCATACTTACTGGTTTCTTCTTGTCAGCTGCACACACATGGCTGCAGATATTATAAAGACTTTACTGTCACTTAGATTTTTAAAAAGGTCATTTATACATTTCTTTTTCTTTAGTCTTACATGAATGTAACAGTTACAAAATGTTACATTCTGCCTAGGCCTGGATAAAACAATAAATTCCAAACACTCTTGAATGGCAAACTATCTTAGTTCAAGTAAGAAGAAGGGAGAGAAAATACACAAAGCCTTAAATCTTCACGTTAATCCCGAAGTTGCAGTTTAGGATACAATTATTTGTTATTCCCTAACACAGGAGAGGGTAGGAGTAAACCTCCACTGTTGTGCACATTTTGTAAGGGTAAGAGGGTAAACTAAAAAAGGTAGTTTCCTCTCCCATACTGATAAGCAATCAAGCTTACCAAAATCAGAAAAAAATAAAGACTCCTGAGTAGGAATCTCCTCAATTCTCCTTTCTTGGCTCACCAAAATATATCACTGGATTCAGATCATTGGGTTCAAGGGGCCAGAAAGATCTTGGTCTCATTAGAGAAGGAATTTAAGCACAGCTGTAGAGGAGACTTAAACAGAAGCAGGTTTATTAATGCAAAGCAGAGTGAAAGCAAAGAAAAAGTGCACCCTGACGAGAGTGGGAAGGCTCAAGAGAGAGTTCTGCCCTAGGGGTCTCAAAACCTCAAGTTTTTATTGGGGTCTGCAGCCATAGTGGGTGGTCATTCTTTGAAAGGGGGTTATGTGTCATTAACTTCTAGAGACTCCCACATGTTGGGCAGGGGGAGTTTTGGGCCTCAGATGGTCAGACTGGGGCTGTTATTTTCTATGGGCTCCAGGGGTTATGGTCAGCAAGACCCTGCCATATGTCACAAGTCATTCTGTTAACATCAGCGGTCCAGGATGTGATTCCTTATCAACCTCCCAGCCATGGTTCTCCTGTCTCCCTGCCTAGCCCCCACACCAGGTCAGTTTTTTCCAAGTTGAGAGTTAGAGAGGACCCTCCTGTATGCAGTTCATTATGCATTGAGTTTCTGAGTGATGGAAGGCACAGAGAGAGGGCATGTCATCAGAGATGCAGACTGTGATTTCCATAGTTGAGAGATTTTCTCATCACATTTGTAACATCATTATTATATGTGAAAAACATAAAAATCATACAATTCTGGATTAGAAAACATTTTAAAAAGCATTTTATGTCTCAAACCCAGCTTCAGATTGTGAGGAGGTTCCAGTGTGTTTTATTTTGGCAACTGTTCTTTTACAAGGATGAAACAGATGGAATTTCCAGAGTTATTCTGTAAATTTAACTTAAGATCTTAACCACACATTAGAATTTGTCTGCAAATCCAAAGGTTATGAGAATTTCTGAAATTGCCGTTTTAAGCAAATGAATTAAAAAATCTTCCTGTTGCATCTCATTTCTTAATATGATTTTGAAGGAGCCATTTTAGGTACATTGGTTGAATAAATCCTTTTTCAAATTTAAGTAGGTAATTCCTTTAACTTTTAGTTATATCCAGTCTTTTATCATAGTTTCTGTATCTGATACTAGACTTGTACTATCCGTGTTTCCTTTTTTTTAATTTTAATTTTCCAGCATTGGGGATTGAGCCCAGGGCATGCAAGGCAAGTGCTCTACCACTTGAGCCATTACCCCTTCCCAACTTCCTTCACTATCATTTATGCCATGTAGAGTGGCCTATTAATAAAATATTCTATATTTAAAGTGTACCTTACATCATTTAAGATGCTTTAATAGCAAACAACAGAAACAAATTATGATAAGCAACAGAAACTGACCCTAACTACAGTAAAGGGATTTCACAGGAGGTTACAATGGACCTCACAGATCAGCCACAGGGGCTGCACAATCCCATTTCTGGAAGGAAAGGGACCAGGGTGGTGCTGGTATCACACTATAGGAGCACACAGACTCTCTAGGATAGCTCAGTTCCAGTAGCCAGCATCCTCTGTGTATCTTTACTCACATTGTAAGGTCCAGATCGATGGTCTAGCTTGCGTTAGTTGGGTGTTTTATGCCAGTGACTCAATAAATTTTGACAAGGGGAGTAGGAATTGGGTGGCTGAGGGAATTATTCTGAATTGAGCACCAGCTATTTGTCCTTGATGCTCTTTGTTTTGCACAAGATAGACCCATACATTTTGTTTAGAAGCTATCATGTCCTGTATATTACAACATTTTGGTTTTTTTAACCCAAGAGTTATATTTCCCATTTAAGTTTGAGGCCATGTTTTGGCATGTGTGTGTGGGGGGTGGGGATGAGGATCAGGGGATACTTTTCTTTTTTCTTTTAATTGATGTCAAAGAAGAATTAAAATTCTCAATCATGATTGCAATAATATATAATCTGAGTTAATTTTAGTAGTGCAACACTTAATCTCAGTTTGGAATTCTTGAAAGGATCAGGGCTATTTTATTTTTTAAGTTGCTAAATTGTCCCTTCCCTGGGACTGAGTGATTATTAATTGGTTCTGATTGTGTTTAAAATTTCTTTGCTATGATATAAAAACAATTTAAGGTCTAGTTTAGCATATTTAGAATAGAAGAGGCATAATGGCAATTTTTTTTTAGCAATATTGAGGCTTAGTCAACATTGACTATGATTTTTTACTTTACATGCTATCCTTCATAAAAATTATTTAAGTAAAAATGGGTTTGTGTAGGTAAATGTAGAGCAACATAGTCAATCCTTGTGAGGTATTTCTTATCAATGTCCTGTAATGTTTGTAAAGTGAACTCTAACGTGGAATAATAATTATCATTACTGGTAATCATCTTAACCAACAGGCATATTATTTGCATTCTTTCGTTTTGTTATCTTAAATTATCACTGTTCTCCCAATATTTGAAATGAGCATTTGGACTTGGAGAGGTGAGTAATTTACCCAAGATCACACATCTAATGAATGGCAGAGATGGATCTTGATGACTGCAGAGCCCTCTTACAGGGGAATAGAAAATTTCTTTGCAAAGATATTGTGACACATGCTCGTAAAGGCATTTTCATGGTGGTACAGTTCTTGTGGTTTTTTTAAATTTTTTTGCCAAGCATTATCATTGATAAACCCAGCAAACACATTCTCAAGATTTGTACTTGAAGTGTAAGACCAGAGGTTTAATTAGAAACCAGCTTCAATTCTCTTTGTCTGCAAGTTAAGTTGGTATGTTTTCTCTTACAATTAATGCAAAAATGATTTTGGTGTTTTGGAGAAAATGTGTTTTATTACTGTGTACATTTAGAACAGAAAAGGATCCCCTGCTCTCTATGCAGTAGAACAAAATAAAGGAGCCGGCTGTGCACTGATGGGTTTGTTAGATGACACTTTGTTCCAAGACTTGAACTACATTTGGAATTGGTATTAAATCTACATAATTTGATAACGTTAGAGTGAGTTGAGACAAAATCAAAATGCGTTTTCCTGAAGAGGAAATCTCTGTCTTGTTACGCATTGCTCTCCTTTTATCTCATAGGTGAAATGGAGTAACAATGTGCCTTGTTAGTAATAAATATTCAAATTTAAATAGTTCTAGGAATAATGATGAATTTGTTGGAATGTTTTTACCATTTTGTTTTATGTACCAATCAGAGTCTATTTCTTAAATTTGAAAACAGTTTTGCTGGGCATGGTGGTACACACATGTAATCCCAGCTACTCTGGAGGTAGAGATTGAGAGGATCATGGTTTGAGACCAGCCTGGGCAAAAAGTTAATGAGACTCCCATCTCAATCAAAAAGTTGGGTGTGGTGGTGCACATCTGTAGTCCCAGCTACATGAGAGGTGTATGTAGGAAGATTGTGGTCCTAAGCTGGCCTTGCACAAACCTTGAAGCCCTATCTAAACACTAACTAAAGTGAAAAGGGGTAGGGGCATAGCTCAACTGGTGGTGAGCCAGCCTAGCAAGCGCAAGGCCCTGAGTTAAAACTCTAGTACCACCAAAACAAAAACAAGAACAAACGAGGTTTTCACTGTTATTCTGATGTGTTTCATGACAGTTTAAGGTATGGTGCTGTACACTATAGGATTGAACACACTGCGTTTTCTGGCTTTTCTCTTCCAGTATCTGTATTTATGCTGAAAGTCCAGGTGAATGACATCATCAGTCGTCAGTACCTGAGTCAAGCAGTTGTAGAAGTATTTGTGAATTACACCAAGACAAATTCCACAGTAACTAAAAACAATGGAGCAGTGTTGATTAAAGTGCCCTATAAACTAGGCCTCAGCTTAACCATTATTGCTTATAAAGATGGCTATGTATTGACACCTCTACCTTGGAAGACTGGAAGAATGCCAAGTAAGCACCTAAACTGTGTTTTGCAATCACCAAATGTAATTTCTTCTGGCAGTGCTGGGGTTTGAACTCAGGGCTTCACGATTGTGCGGGAAGAGTTCTACTGCTTGAGTCTTGCCTTCAGCCCTGTAAATAAAATTTTCCCTTCTGTTTTTGGGATGTCTTATTTTGGTAATCTAAAATTGAGAATGTCTAAGAGAAGTCCATATAAGAGGGCTAGAAGGGAGGGCCAGTTTGAAGAAAACATTATTTATTCTGCTTGGGCTGTTATAGGAAAACACCATACATAGGGTGGCTTATAAACCACAGAAATTTTATTCTCACAGTTCTGGAGTCTGGGAAGCACAAGATGAAGATCCAGCAGATTTGGGGTGTGGTGAGGGCCTGTTCTCTGCTTCATGGATAGCACCTTCCTGCTGTGTCCTTACATAGTGGAAGAGGCAATGAGTTCTCTTAAGCTGATTTTTTAAATTCCTCTCTCTCTTTCAAAAAATGAGATAGGGCCTCATTTACATAACACAGGGTGGCCTCAAATTTGTAATCCTCCTGCCTCAGCTTCCTGAGTGTTGGGATTATAGTCATGTACCACCATGCCTGGCTAAACCAATTTTTTTTCAGGGTACCAGTCTTATTCACAAAGGCTCTGCCCTCTTGAACTAATTGCTACCCAAAAGACTCTGCCTCTTAATGCTATCATGTTGGGTGTTAGGACTTCACCATATGAATTTTAGGGGGACATGAACATTGAGACCATAGAAATTATGAAGGCATTTTTCCTTCTAAGGAGGCTTTCAGATGATTGCATCCACTGGTTATGTCAGGCACCTACTCTTGTAAGCAGGTTCAGCCCCATCCTGCATTCCTACTAAAGGTTGCCTCTGTGTTTGTGTGTGTGTGTGTGTGTGTGTGTGTGTGTGTGTGTGTGAGAGAGAGAGAGAGAGAGAGAGAGAGAGAGAGAGAGAGAGATTGTTTTCTCCTCTGCTAATGCCAAGCAGAAGAGCATTGTGTTCTTTTTTTTTTCTATAGATTTTTTTTTTGTTCATATGTGCATATAATGTTTGGGTCATTTCTCTCCCCTTCCCCCACCCCCTCCCTTACCTACCCCACAGGCATTGTGTTCTTATATGAAAAGTAGGTGTCATCTCTCTCTAGAGAATACTGAATCATGGAGAGAAGAAAGTTCTTTATTTAAACCCTAAGAACCAAATAACAAGTAACAATTATACAGAGTAAAGGACGGAGCTATTCTAGCACTTGACTTGATCATTTATATTTGGGGCCAGTTATAACACATTAGTCACCTTGGTTCAAACTCCTATTTATAATGGAAAATATCAGTAAAATTTCACTTCATTGTCTTCTCTTTATCTCCACCATATTTTATATTAATTCTTTCTGTGTTTTTAATTGATCTTCCCATCAAGTAGTTTGCTTTTTTGCCTACTTTTTAGGACTTTGTATAACAGAACTGTACTTGTCTGGATTTTGTCCCTCACGTTAAGTATCTTAATTATGCAATATTTCACAGTATATTCATCAGTTACACTTTCGCTGTTCCCACAAAGCCAAGCAAATATATGGCTATTTGAAGACACTGTTTTGATTACTGGAAAATTTGCTGGTAAGTGCAATTCTTCTTTCTTAGTAAGGAAACATGGTGATTATTATGTAAGTGAATCAATGTTGATTATAACTTGGGAAAAATATAAATTAATCAGTGATGACTTGTGTTGACTATAAATTGACCTAAACTGACTCTTATCTTACTGTAGAACTACAGTAGGTATTTTTTGTGTACTGGGAATAACTGTCTCTTTTACTATTTTAACCTCCACCCCCATGAGAATATTTGACTTTAGGAAATACTGGAAAGAGCTGTCTGTCCTTGTCTCCAAATCACATCTCCAACCAGGGCTTTAGTGGCTGATGAGATTAGGAAAGGACAGGATACACACTGCTCAGACATTGGGGCTCTCTAATGCAGGTCATTTCCATTCCTGTCTCCTGGGTTAATCTTGCTGCCTGAGCTGGAGAGACATGAGTCTAGGTAGTTGTGTATCTGCTGCCAGGCGTGATTTGCCCTACTTGCACTTCCCAAGAGAAAGAATACTAGCTGTGTCCTTCAACTGTGCTTTACCAACCATGAAAATCACTGCTTGAGCTTTATCTCACTTTCATTGGCGCTTAGGAGAAACACCAGCATTCTGTGACTCTTTTACTACCTACAATATGATGTCTTTATAAATGACAGCAATTTGCTTATTTCAAATTGGTCAAGTTTGGAAATGATTGGTAAAGGTACAAAATCCTCAAGGTGGAGTCCAGTAACAGAGGCATGATAAAAGTACTTTTTATGAAAGTTTTTTTTTTTCATATTGTTAGAAGCTAACATTTCTAAAGTACCAAACAAGAATACTTTTATTCTTGAAAGTAATTTCACAGTTATTTGCAAAAATGGAACTAGAGCTTGATTAATCTTGGAACAATTTACTGAGGGAGGCTGTGACCTTCTTGACTTCTTGAGAAGTCAAGGCACTTAGCAGAATTTTGAACCAGTGATTTTGCTGGTATATGGCAGAATGGTGAGTATAGAGTTGTGAGCAGAGAATGGAAAGTCCATAGAAACCACGTCTGCAAAGAGGTCACATTTTATGCTACTGGGGCTGAAAATGAATCAGCTTCTCCATAGTCCCAGTTTAGTGTTTTATTTATTTTTTTTTGGTCTTGTTTTGCACCTTTCTGGCCTCTTCAAACCCATTAGAAATTGTACTTTCTGCTGGAATACATGAGTCTGTCCTGTACCATCCCTTTTCCACCATACGAAGCAATGAGGAGTGTTCATTTTCCTGGACAGTAGTGGCTATGTGTTGGCAGGTCCCTAAGAGAACATTGTGAGTCCCCCTTGAATTCTCAGGTCACTTCCTTTTGCTGTTTTATTTCCCTCAGAGGTACCTATTGGTAAAAGCAAGCATGAAAGGATCCATGTTTCTGATGATGTTATATCTTTCCATAGAGAATGTATTTTCACTTTTTAAATTATATAAAATAATCAGGAAGGTGTTCAGTTTATATAATGGGATTATGTGTAGTGTGTGTGAATGTATTTGTGGTAAAAAAATAACAGAAGTTAAAAGTTCTAGGAATGTACAAAACCTTAGAGAAACTCAGCTAGATATTTTGCATAGAGTGCATGTTTTCATTTGTAAAAAATTTGTATCTGCAATATAATTCATATTTTAAAAGGGTAAGTTGTAGATAATACTTTATAAGGCATCCAAAGGTATCAGATTATTCCCTCAAATAATTTAACCAACTAAGAAGGTATATTATAATTATGTTGTTTGTATTTAACTGTCTCCCAGGTATCTTTTTTTTAGCTTCATACATAAAAAATAAACTAGAAATTGATTTTGAGAATTACCTTACATTATTGATTTTTTTTGTTTACAACTCTTTAAGTTGACACTTTTTATCTTAATGATTTTAAACTAATTTCTTCTACCCTTATAAGTAACCTTATTAAAGTCCAAAGCAAAGCTTATGTTCCTGATAAAATTTTTTTATTTGTTTCTTCACATGTGCATGCATTGTGAAGAAACCTTACCTCCCCCCCAACTTACCCCCCCACCCACTCCCTCTTCCCTCAACTCCCCCTCACTTCCAGGTCCTGATTAATTTTTAATTTTAATGATTTGATCTTGACTTTTTAAATAATGTTGGTTACAGAAATATCAGTATTGTCACCGAGTTCTTACTTGATAAATGTCAGAGGATAGTTAATTCAAAGTTATTAAAATTATAAAATATTTATAAATTGAGTAACTTAGCATTTAGGTGACTTTTGATGTATGATTATCTATCTAATAGAGAAGCTTACCCACTTAGTGAGTGTCTGAATATCATTAAAGATGCCTTTTGTTGCAAGTTGCTGAAAACTCATGCTATAGTAGCATATGCTCAAGGAAAGTTTTTTTTTGTTGTTTAGGAATTCAAATGAAATAATTGAAAACTAGGTTTTCTTTCTCCCTCAACTCTCCACTCTTTAAATATTGCCTCCATGTTCAAAAGAGTTCTCATTTGGGGTTACAAGATGGCTGTTGAAACTCCCAGCTATATACCTGCTCACATAAAATCCACTGAGGGCAACAAGCAAGACTTACTTTGCTGAATCCAAACAAAACTCATGTTTCATCTCATTAACTATGCTTGGGACAAGGTCCATTATTGAACAAATCATTTTGGCCAAGAGAATAGAGATGTTTGGATTGGTTTCAGCTCCTTTTGGCAAACATCATCAACCCCGCTCCAATTACAGAAATGAAACCCTAAGAGAACCTCATGGGTCAGTGTGTGGTCCTCTAAAGTGAAATAAAAAAAAAAGGGTGAAGTAATTCTGGGCAGCAGAATCAAGCAGTCTTTAATACAAAGGTGCTTTGTGTGGTTTAAAATGAGGGACATTTCTTACTTAGTCAGCTCTAAATTTAAAATAATAATTATATGAGAAGATATTAGTGATATTAGAAATAATTGTAACTTTGTCCTTCAAAGTAAAATGTCCTGACCAATGATGTATGCTTATTATGCATTTTCTGTATTTGCTAATGGGATTTCCTTTATTCCAGATGCCAAATCTCAACCAAGTGTTCAGTTTTCAAAAGCCTTAATTAAACTTCCTGACAACCATCATATTAGGAATGTTACTGGCTATCTTACAGTTCTACAACAGCTTTTGAAAGTTGACAATTTTCTGTATACGACTGGAATTACTCTCAATAAACCAGGTACTTTCTAGTTTTTACATAATATAATCCTATTTATAAGAAACATTGACATACAAATCTTTCACCAAATACTTCTTATTTAAATATTTAGTTAGAAATTTGATTTTCATTTAAGTTTTGGAGAATACATGTCACTTTTGAAACATAGATCTAGTTATTAGAATATGTATAAGCAATTCCCTTGTACCAAATGCAACAATGATCATACCAAAGTCTTTAGTAGTCATTATTTTAAATTAATGGAAATTTTATTTCCTTTGACCCAAAGCAGATAAGCAATCTTACTAACCTGATGAGAAGTACCAATGATTGTTGAGATATAAAAAGTTTATCAAGTTTATAGATTTGATTAAGCTATTACAGTGTTTTCTTTCAATTTATTAGCATTTTTTCTGAGTCAAATATGAGTCTTGAAAAGGCATCTTTTCTAGAGTCAATAGCTTCAATATATATAGTAGGCTGACATGATTTAAAAGTTAAGGATGGAATTTTGCACTTATTTTAAAAGACATCTACATTTGTTCCACTATGTCTATCCCTCATTGAAACATAACTGAAACTTCTTTGTTTAAAATTCAATCTGTAATTTTGATGGTTCTAGACGAAAATGTCAAATTTTTGGTTCATTTCATTTGGTGGCATCCATAAGTAGGAGTAGTAAGGGCAAATATGTCTCTTGGTTAGTTGGTGGTATTTCTTAACCTGCTATAGCTGATGCCATTAGCACCCCAGTGACAAGACCCCCCACTCTTTTGTCACAAGCCTGTTTCCCACTGCACAGATCTATGGCTGCCTGAGGGCATTCCCTGGTCCAAGAAGTAGACCTGGTTCTAACACAGGCAGTCAAGAGTTGATACTTAAATGCTCCAATTTCCTTGCTTTGGCTAGGACAATTCTGAGGCAGCTTCTCTTCCTAGAGGGACTGAACTGGGGCTGCCACCATGATAACCTGATCATGAACATGTCCTGTGTTGGCTTCCTTCTTTCTTCTGTATTATGCTTCCACTTCCTTAGTGGTAGGTGCTTCCTTAGGATTACCTTACCAATAAACAGTTTGTGCTTAATTATCCCATGAGCTGCTTCTTGAGGAAGGCAATCTAGGACATCTGACAAGATTTTTCAGATATAAGTCAAACTAAAATAGAAAGCATTTACATGAGTGGTCCTAATACACCCCAAATGAAGCTTTTTTGGGAAGGCAATTGTGAACCAGATTCATTAAATTCAATGGGAAGGAGTCATAATGGGAATGTCTGCCTCTCAACATTCCTCTACTACCTACTTTCAAGATTACTCATTAAATGTTTTGATTATCCTGGGAATACTGCTATGACTTAAAAAATTCTAGAGCAGGGCTGCCAACTGAGAATGTTCTGCTCTGTCCAGCATGGTAGCCACATGAAATGTGACTCATGCACCAAGGATGGATTTCGTTTAAATAGCCACATGTAGCTAGTGGCCCCTGTATTGGATTGCATAGTTCTAGAGCTCTGAGTCTAAAAGTGTTCTTTAACAAAAGTTTTCTTTTCTCCTTCTCATCATCTTTCATTCCCTTCCCCCCTTGCACTATTCTTTCTTTACTCCTCCTTTGAGTTCATATTATCTCAAATAGGTCTCAATGCCTGTAGGTTGTGAGCTGAGGGGAAGGGTTAAAGCAGTTGAAGTCATTTAACATATATAGTTACTTAACAGATTATATAATGCTCTGTTTGTGCATATGTTCAACATTATTTTGGTCATCTGATATTACTATTTTAGGCAGTTTCCTACAGCGAATTCTTTTATAGTTAATTGAAAAATTACAATAAGCTAATAGCTGCCTTGACTGTTCACTGAAAACTTAGGCCTGATGGTAGTAGTAGTGATAACAAGAACTCTTCTTTATGGCCTGCAAGGCCTTACACTATTGCCTCTGTCCTCTACTGCTCTCAGCCTCTTGGCTGCCTTTCTTTCTCATGTCTGCCAGGATCACTTCTGATTTGAAAGCTTTGTACTTGTTTATTCTGCCTGGAAAACTCTTCTCTGAGTTCTTTGCATGGGTGGCCCCTTATCATTTGGTCACAGCTCAGATTTCCCTCCTGAGAGCATCTTTCCTTGATCACTTAATTTATTGCCTTTCTAGATTATCATGCATTTACATTCATCAGTAAAGAAATGAGAAAAAGGATTTTTGGCAGTAATGATATCTTACCAATCGACATATATTTATTTTTTTTCTTACAGCTATACATAAGAAATCATGTGCTCACTGTATCTTTGGGACCCATATGAATGTGTGGTTCCAGTAGGTGCCTTATAAATATTTGTTAAATGAACAACAAAACTAGCTTTGAAACCAAAACTTAAAAAGTTTAAGCAAAAAACAAATAATATATAAAAAATATATTTTATCTGACTTTTCCTTGGCTTTACACTGTCTATATTCTGACCTCAGCCTCCCAAGTGTTGGGATTACAGCACCATATCCATCTTCTCTATTTTTAATGTGTTAGTACATTACTTAGAAAATCTGAAATTATCAAATTATTTATAGAAATTAGTATTGTAATTTAAATGTCTGTGATCATATTTTTCTTCATTGTAAATATGCTGGTGTACGTTATAACTTCATTTGCCATTACTAATATTTCAAAAACAAAGGTACTTCTACTTTTTTTCCCCATAGTAATAGAAATCTACAGGGAGCTCCTGCTATTTCAGAAAACATACTATAATTACATAATCAAATCCTTGAAACTTAGGAAAACAGTAAGATCAATTCTTCTCTTAACCTGCTTGCTTTCTACTTTTCAGTGCTTGGCATTTTGATATATAATTAATATTTGAAATCAGTTTATACTCGTTCAATTATGTTAAGTTTATATCAAGGCATATAATCTTTATCAAATAATGATATTGCATAATAATTTTGTTGTGCATTTAATTGCCAAACTTAACCAATAAAAATTGTATTTTGATTGAGTGCTTTTTGCATAAGGAGTGCAGGTGGGTCTGTTGGTTCTAGCTCTCCTGGAAATAGATGGTCTTTGGAAGAAGGAGACCCAGAAGTTTCATCTGCACCAATGATGATGTGGTATAGTGAAGTTTTTATTTGATATTAGTGGAAGTGGGTTTTTCCTTTTTGGTTGTTGGTTTTTAGGTTGTTAAAAATACTCTTGAATTCCAGCACCTTCTACCACATGACTGAGTTAGATAACTTAGGCTCATACTGATTTGTCAGTGTTACAATGTGTAGTCTATGTTATTTATGAAATATTTTGAAAGTATATTTTAAAAATCCTTAGCGTGGAGTCAATAACTATTTGATATTGCAATGGATAACACTGGCGAAGTAGAGGAACTAGATATTTTAGACCCATAATAATTTATTATGTAAATGCAACCTCTGTTTACACATGATTTTAATAAATTGTCTTCTTTTTTAGGTTTTGAACACATTGAATTAACTCCTCTTGCTGCAATATGTGTGAAAATATACTCTGGAGGAAAAGAATTAAAGGTGGATGGCTCCATTCAACTTTCTCTTCCCCTTCTACATAAAAATGACATAAATGTCGGGGATCGCATGCCTGCGTGGACATTTGACATGAACACAGGTATGTTAGCTAGGTGAAAACATTTTCAGTATTTTTCTTTTGAATACTTGTACATTTTATCTTAGAGTTTGATATAACTCTAGGTTTTTGGTAGTATTACAATTTTGTGTGCATTTTTAGTGACCAATATTGACTTCACTTTGATGGGGGAAGTGACACCAGTATATTATGTCAGAACCCCCGTTACTCATGCTGACTTGCCATCTTCCAACGTTCTGAGGCAGAAATTGTTTTTAAAAGTTTTTTAAAAATTGTTTATCCTCATATGACTCTTTTGAGAGGTAATATGAGCTTATCTAAAAACTGGGTTAAGGCAATTGATAAATGTATGCTAATTTCATGAAAATAAGTATTATGTTAATAAGAGACAGGAGGAGTGAGTATTTCCCCCAAACAACTTTAGGCACTAAGTTTGCTCCCAGTGTTTTGTCTCCTAAATGGCAACTAGAAGCATTTTTTCCTCCTCAGCTTCCCTTGGTTTTCTTCTTGTGTTCTTATGTAAATAAGGAAGGAATCTATGTTACAAAAAAAAGATGTGTGTGGGGGGTGTGATGTGTGTGATAAGTTCACAACAGAGAAGTTCACAGTATGATTGCCTTAGGCAAAGCATGCTACCGAGCCCTGGACAGTTTCTTGGGTTTGGTTTCTCTCCTTCTGTCTCCTGAGTTTTCTCAATGTCAACACCCTTCTTTCTAGGGAAAGACTTCCCTTCAGAGCACTGGTGCTCTAGCTTTTGAGCTTTACGTCTACCCAGCCTGAAGTCCAATAGAAAAGAGAGATTCTTTATTCTAGAAGTCACAGAAGAAGCCCTTGGATTCCCTGCAGTTATAAAATGGAGTTTGCATTCCCATTTTAGAGTTAGTCTTTGTGTCCTGCAAGTAGAATACATACATTTATTTAGGATTAGTCTACATGTTGGACATGGGATGGAGCCCAGACTAATCATATAGACTGAGAATAGGGAGTGGTAGATCCTCAGGGGAAATTTGGAATGAGATTCACTGTTAACTGGAAGGGTGACTATTAAGGCCAAAAAACCACACAAAGTGCTAGCAGTAGTATTTCTATGTTCCTAAGAATAGAAACCATAAAAGTAATAGTGAAAATAAGCTATTTAAATCACTAAGATTCTATGCCTATCCATTTACCAGCAATACCATTTGGAACAAGTCATTCACATTATTTTAGTGGAGCTCAGTTCCTAATTTGTTGAGTGAGACAGTTTTTTAAAGCACCTTAAAGAAGAATATGTGCTGTCCAAGCTCTGACTTCTGATTGTTCCTCCCGGCAAGAGCCTTTGTCTCTGGTGTGCCTTTCAGTGACAAAATTTCTGAATTTATCACATATGCAGTGGTTAACGTTACTGTAATATTTAAAGGCAATAGATTGACCCTTTTCTGTCATTTCAAGTTTCTTTACCTTATTAAAAACACTTTTTATGTTGCTGAAAATGACAGGATTTCATCCTTTTTATGGATGACTAACAGTCCATTGTGTTTATATACCATATTTTCTTATCCATTCGTCCACTGATGGCTACCTTGATTGATTCCATATCTTGACTATTGTGAGTAATGCTGCAATAAATATAGAAGTATCAAAAATAGGTTGACAGGAGGAATTAGTTTTAGTGCCCCATGGTACAGTAGGGTAACTATTGCGTATGACAATTTATTATGTATTCCAAAATACTAGACAAATCCAAAAGTTCCCATAAAATGGAGACTATTTGAAAAGATAAAAATGCTAATTACCCTGATTTTCTCATTACACATTGTATTCATCTATGAAATTACCATACTATGTCCTATAAATAAATATTCACAAATGTGTAAATTAAAATAAAAAATACCACAATTTTACATAATATAGATAATTTACTATAAGAAATCAATAAACCAGAGTACAAATATACACCAAACTTATGATAGCTGTGGTATGCTCTTTGTACAAAAGATAGCATTTTTTTAAAGTTTAAAATATTTTTTTCTGAAGGAACTATACTGAATAGATAAGAATGATGTTTAATAACTTAATAAGGCCATAAAACATAAATCCCAGGACAAGTGACAAATAACCACATGTTGATGAGTTGGTATTTTTGAGGGAGTTCTGAGGATTGGACCCAGGGCTTCATGCGTACTAGATAAGCACTCTACCACTGAGCTATAGCCCCAGCCTTTGAATTGGGATTTCACTACTGAAATCCCTAAGAGATATTGTAGTGTGCACAAGATGAACATTAATTGGAGAGTCATGATTTTTCTAAGAATGTCTGCGTCCTTATTTATAATAATTTTATTTTCTTTGGTAATAACAAATCATTCAAATTACTCTATTTATATATTATAATTTATACTAATTATAAGTGCTATAGAATATTTAATGTGTTAGCCACGATAATATATTTTCATAATCTTTAAAAAAGTCCTATAATGTATTCTTCAGTTCACTGTCAGCAAACTCTTATGAACTCTGATGATATATAACTATTAAGTAACTGGTATTTTTTACTTATCTTCCTTTTTAGGTGCTTGGGTAAATCATGGCTGGGGAATGGTCAAGGAATATAACAATCATTTAATTTGGACTTATGATGCACCACATTTGGGGTACTGGATAGCAGCTCCGCTTCCAGGAGCTAGAGGTATTATAAAAATGAAACAAAGCAATCCTTTTAAAAATCCAGATAGCATGCTACAATCCATACCAGCTGACCTCTTAGCATTGCCACTTACTGGCTGTATGATGTGGGGAAAAGCATCTAATCTCTTAGTCTTAGCTTTATTTCAAGTATATAAGAAAAGACTAGGCTCTATGAACTCTTGTAGCTATAATGTCTACTGAATGTGTGAAGAATGAAATTTGTTCAAATCAAATTTTTTCTCTTAGTTTGCTTTTTTCATGAACAAATTCTATACAAATCAGTTAGAGCTTTCACTTGTAAGCAACAGAAATATTTTACACAAATCTTAAAATGGTGAAATATGTGTGGGGAATTTATGGATCTAAGGGAAGATTGAAGAGCCAGATGCTAAGGTGCCAGAATCTCTGTAACTTCAGAGGGGATGAGTAGGAGGCTGACTTGACTGTCTTTGCCAAGTTGCTGCTGCATGACAGCTGACTCCAGTCTTTTCCAATCCTTTCCTTATGTGGTGCCTGATCCTTCTACATATGAGGAATCTAACTGCCCACCTTTGGGTCATGAGCACATCCCTTAGTTGGGGTGAGGCGGGGCTGAATGGCTCTTGTGTAATAGTGTCTCCAGACGGTTTTAAGAGAAGATAGATGCCACACCAGATGAAAATTGACCTGACATTTTGAACAGAAGGTGGGTGGGGGCTGTTGGCCACAAACCAATAATTGTCCACTAGTGATGAACTGCTCATGTTCTCGGAGACATTAATTTCATTTTCTGAAATTTAACAAGGTATCAAATTATTTAGATAATTTAAATTTAGGGAAACTACATTCATCTCATTCAGTAAATTCTTGAAGAATTCAAGCATTGCATATTTTCTTTTATCCATTAAGTATTTGTGAAAAAAGAAAACTCCTCCAATCTGGACTGGTTGCATAGTCATCCTGCTACCATGTTCTAGGCCTTTTGTGTGTTTCCTGGGATAAATTAAGTTGCTTCTTGCCTTTTCCTGCACCAGTTTTGCTAGTCTACTTTCTACCTTTCAGCTGTTATCTGTCTCATTTTCCTTTATTTTATAGGTTGTATAATTTACAGAATGAAAGCAAAGCAAAACTTTTAGCATCATTTAGTGAATATTTGGGCCTGAAAGTTGAATATGTATATCGTTCCTCCATCTGTCTTGTGACAGAGAAGA